TCTAATCTGTGCTCGCGGTCTTTTCTACAGCCCGTGAGTGAATGGACGTCTCTAAACGTGGTCGAATGGATGGCTGCCCTAAATCTCTACCGCTATGCGGACGTTTTCAAGTCGAAAGACATCAAAGGTTGCGACCTTCCTTTCTTGGATCAGGATAAACTTATGGTAAGTGAACTCTTTTTTGATTGTCTCTTTCTCCGTTTCGAGCGAAGGAACCGCGTTGGTGGGAGATCAAAAATTTTTTGGCTACCGCTCAAAGGCGATGACCTCGACTCAAGAGTATCTGGACGACGCGACGCGACGTTTTCCTTGGCCCGTTGACCCTGTAATTGCCCTATAGCGTCTGCTGTGCGTTACAGTTGATTCGCTTTTATCCTCCTCCTCTTTCTATCTTGCCTCTTTTCTTTATTTTGGACCGCGTATCGATTATCAGGAATATCTACTCGACAAATATTTTTTCTTATCTCTAAAGATGGCCTCGCGTAGGTGCATTAGATGTACGTACGGCATTATCTCTTGCCGGTTTTTACTCTTAACGCGTGATAACGCATTTCTTTGTGTATGCATAAACGGCGCTCGTCGAGTTTCTAAGCGACGGGACGAAATAAACGTCGATTTCTTTTTTATACTGTAATAAAATGCTGCGACTCGTTTCTTCGTCCGAGAATTCGTCCTGCTGGAATCGTTACGAGTCCTGGCCAGGATCGAATTTAGTCGTGATACGTCTCGATACGATCGGCGTTCGGACGAGGAAAATAAAAATACTCGTTTGGTCAAGGCTATTTCGGGCGTAAATCGCGTATTACCATGCTAATCGACTCGTAAATCGTCTGGAAGTATCCTTTCGGTGCGAGAAATCGTCCGGTTTCCGTTCGCACCGTCCTTCGTGCCGGGTATCCGAGACCTGCCCAAAAGAAAAAAACGAACCTCGTTGAGTCCCCGTCGTACCTTAGGTCGAAGTTCACTCGGAAATTATTTCCAACCCGTTGGAGTCGAATTCTAACGAATTGGAAACACCGAAAAGAACGATATGTCGCGTCGCGAATGAACATTTAACAAATTCCCGTTGGTTCAACACAATCGTTGGAAACATTCTAACTGCTTTAGAACAGACGATGACTCCCACGCAATTCTCTTCGGAGCGCAACGATTTAACAACCACTAGACACGATGCATCGCTTATCTCTCAGCTCCGAAAGAACTCGACGGAATTGATGCGCTTATAATTAACTCTGCACACTGCACCGGATGTCAACTTGATGAATTACGTATTATCCCGCGGCACCTTATCTCTCGTTCGTGAGCAAAACGCAAACGCTTCTTGCCCCGGCCGCGGTGCTGGCAAATTATTTTTCGCGTTCTCATCTGGCTCCTCGGAGAGAGAGCTTTCGCCTCTCTGGACGCGGCGGGATTAGATGCGATATAAAATAATTAACGTTCCAATTTCTGCCCAGCTATTGAAGAAAACAATATAATATTTATATTTAATACAGTATAAGTGAAAATTGATAATGAAAATTATTTTCACGCGTGGTGTTTAATGTACATTCAGATGAGTCAGGAAAAAATCATTTACAATCAATTTTTCCTCTAAAATGAAGGCTTGCAGTGCACACCTCTAATGTCCGTATTTCTACTCATTGTCAATCAAGCCAATTATAAAAAACATTTTTCTAATAAACATTTCTAATATATATTATATATCTATATATATTTCTAAATAATAACTATCTATATATATTTCTAAATAATATTTTCTAACTAAGAGCCTAAGTTCCATTCCGCTTACATTATTAATTAGAAAAATATGGCAGTGAGTAGAAATTGGGTCGATGGGTAGAAATTGGGACATTTATCTTACGCGTCAATTTTGACAGTCGGGCGCTGGTCCTCGTATCGCGTACGACATGCATACACATAGATATCTATATCGATACTTCGAATCTGACCACGCGCGAGCGTCAAGCTAAGAATAAACGTTTGGCCCATGATGCGTCTCATGGCGCCGATATATTTTAAAATAGACCGTGCGAGAGCGCGGCCATCTGAATACCATAATTTCGATGAAATGAGTGCCAGTCAGTCGTTGCCGGAAGTAACGCCTCGAGTTCGGATATCAACGCGAGACGAACGTCCGCTTCTGCCCTCGCGAAGTATTCAGCTATCTTACTATGCGTTTTACGATCTCTTCGTTGGAACGTTTCCCACGTTACGTAATTTCGACCGATCGAATTATAGATATACGATGTGAAAATTCTGCCGAAGGAGGCAACGAGCCGAAGACGAGCGATCTGTAATATTTAACAATGATACTGCGCGATTATAAAAAGTTCCGTTTCGTCGCGTTATGTGCGCACAGGTGTTCGTCGCAGTCGTACGTGTACTTGACACCTGTTGATTGGAGAATCAATTGAACCGCGGAGAACCTGGGGATGCCAGTCACCAGAGACGTTGCGATACCTATAAATTACTATCGACTCGCCGTGCTCACCCTCTTTTACGAGATTGTATCACGTAACGTCTACCCGTTCGTTACACGCCCCGGATTCCTCCTGGCGTCGAACAATTAGGTCTCGCTTCCTGAACGATTCTTTCTTTTTCATACTCGCGAAACGATCTCAGTCTCCGTTCTGACGTGGCAAAAAGACGAGGGTGGCAGCCAGCCGGTGGTTCTCCGGTCTCCTCTCTCGTAGGATCTCTCTCTCTCTCTCTCTCTCTCGGACGTTTATGTCTGTTATATTTCTTGCGTTACGACGGCCCGACTTCATAACTGTATCTTGTTGTTAGCGAATTTCTTTTTTGCGTGACACGAGCGGGCGCCTTGCCATGGGCCTCGTAAATTTTTGACATAACGAGTACCGGTATTTTTAACCGATTTTCCTCCGCTGTTAAACGCTAAAAATTCCATTTCGTTGACTATATGGGTAGAGAGGTAAATCTTGTTTACCTCATTTTTCTTTGGAAAATACATAAGTCGTGGAAATACGTAAGATGGTAATAATATAATTAAACATGGTAATACGCGTTTACGTGGGGCTAAGTTGTAAGGGTTTCACCAATCAAGAAATATTAGAGTCAACATTCTACTCCTTGGTAGGATATCTCGTTTTTCTGACTTCTATATTATTGGTATTTCACTATTGTAAGAGATGTTAAAGTTAAAGCTTGACTTCTTGTTACGATGGCTCTTTTGTCTTATTCTCAGAACATGGGGATCAAGGACGATTTTCACCAGAGAACGATTTTGGCCTGCATCGAGGAGCTTTGTAATCCGTCTCCGTGCCCGAGCGCCGCGTCGTCGGCGGAGGCGACCGCGTCCTCCGGTGACGCGACCGCCGGTGGTAGCTCGCCCCACACCCTCATGCCTCAAAGCTTCAGCGTGCTGGAGAAATGCGACAAGTGCCATAAATACCTCAGAGGTCTCTTGCATCAAGGATTTCTCTGTTTAGGTACGTGTACACAGCATTAAAGCCACTGCAACTCTCAAATTACACACAGTGGGACTAACACTTTTTAAAACGGATCAACTTTCTTAACATTGAACCGAACGACGTAATTTTTTGTGGGTTTCTAGAAGGCTTACTTTACTATGTAATGTGCAAAACAATTTGTTCAAAATTTTTATTGGTCGTAAAAGTGGACGTCGCATTTTTTAACTTTTCTATTGTAGTCTTCAACAAAAATTGTAGATTCAAATAAATTATGTACATGTACAAAGTTTGATCAAAATCGGTTAATGTCGTTATGAGCTACAAATGATTAAAAATTAAGAAAGTCGCAGGTTTTTACGATTTTCGGCCTGCAACTGAAATAAATTGAAGAATTTTTACATACTTCGTGGTGTCTAATTTTGTTATGCTTCCACCGTTTTTTATGATCATATCCAATGCATTTTCAAATTTTGGTTGCTTAGATCGATCAACTCTTATTTACTCGGTCGTAGTGACGTGAATAATTAAGAGGTCAATACACGGATTTAATCATGTTTATTTTCCCGCGATAACAGTATCGTTTCTGTGTTGCTGTAGATTGCGGCCTGGTAGCTCATAGGACGTGTACAGCGACAGGTTTACCTTCCAGCTGCGTGTCAGTCTATTCGGAAAATCGTGTCCCCAGATTTACTCCAGGTAAGTGGTGCGTTTGATGGAGCGCGCGGTATACCTATAGCATACGCGTGCGCGACACACAACCGCAACAGGCGGTGGTGGCCGGTTTCGTAATGCGACATTGATACGACTTGATTGTAACACGGCCATTACTTCTTCGTTACGTTAATAGACGAAATGCGGAAACAATTTAAAAATTCAGATGTCTTTCAGTCGACTATCTCCCGTGTTGCATCAGAATCGCGTTCGCGGCCTGACGCCGGCTGGAACTGCTTTGCACGCGCGCGCCATAGACGATTATTATGAAGTTTGTAGCAAGGACATACGGCGTGGCGCATTACTTGTCGCTCTAATATCTGAATAACTAAATATTCATGGTTCTTTCGATTGAAATCACTATTGGTCGCGGGCGGGGGAGAACAAAAAAAAAGAAGAATGCTATTTCACCAGCCGCGTCCGGTCGGTGTTTTATCTTTTGTATTTCGGTTGCGGGCGTACGACCAACGGAAGAATCATCGTCGCTTTCGAATTGCTGAACGCCCACGGGTTATTTAAATTGACCGGCGCATGCATAGGTGTGCGTCGTCGGTATTCGTGTGAACGTAGACAGTTTTCCGAGAAATTTCGTGGCTACTCTCGGAATAGTCGTCGAGCACGAGCGAACGACTGTATAATCGATAAAACCGAGCGATAGCCACGGATTTACACGATGGCCGCGTTCCATTTCACGAGCAGGAGCAGTGATTCGTTTCGCTATATCGTCGGTCGCATCGCGCGTCGATCGCACGATTCGCCAGGAGAGAACGTGCTAGAGAATTGCGAACGGCGCCAATGGTCAGGGTCGCGTCTTCGCGCGGTCACATTATTCATGACGCCGGTCTGCTATAAAACCGCGATCATCTCTATAAAACAGGCGACTTAGACCTGTTTATTTTTTCTGAAAATTCGTACATAAGGGATTTCGTTCGGTTCGAAAGGAAAGTGTAGCGAGTCGCTTCGTGAGCGTAATAAAAGCATTTTTATGTATTGCTCATAAAAAACGAAACATCGCCGTTTCGAACACTGTGGCGGAGGACCGGGGCCTCTCGCGAATCCACCGATACGTCGCGGCTTTCGTCCGAGGACTCCGTAGCCAGTCGAACGGTCGTCGCGAACATCCAATTTCCGTACTGACCTTCGCCCGACTGCCGCGTTAAATTCCTATGTATTACGTCGAGTACTGCAAGGTAGCCATACTCGCCTTTTAATTTCATTTTCTCCTTCTCTCTCTCTCTCTCTCTCTCTCTCTCTCTCGTCGAGGCTATAGAAGATGCTTGCAAATGAACAAGATGCCACTGTTGCGATCGTAAAAATAAATTTGTCTCTCCTTCTCATGCTCCCTAGCGTAAAACTCTTCGTCTCTTCTCCTCTTCCTTCGTATTTCGCCTTGTCCACTTGCGTCTCATTTTTCTCCGTCTTCTATTTCTCCTCTTTCTCTCTTTCTCTCTCTCTCTCTCTCTAGTTCTTGGTCTCCTTCTTATAATGTATGCGCACACGCCTTTGATTGTACAAGTGGCGTGTGAAATATTGACGCCGAGTCGTCACGACTTGTGCGGCTCTTACGAAAATGCGATCACTCTCGTGCTTTCACGCTTTTCGATGACAGAGTACGGATCGGAAACTGAAAATTCGCGAAGAATGAAAAATCAGTTCATTTTCTTTAATGCAGTCGTTTTTTGCCTAACGCTTATTTCTCCTTTAAATAGGTTGTTCCAAACATTTCGGGCTTCCCAAGAATTTTGTCTTTTTTTGATATTTAAAAGGATTCTTGCAAGAATCTTCGAAGATACTACTTTTTCGTCGCTTTTTACCTTGTTCCTTTGCCTCTTTGATCACGCACTGCCCTAGCGCCTTTTTTCATTAATAATTCGCGATCGAATTCGAGACCGCATGTAAAACAGATGAAAGTTGTATTTTCCTCGCGAAAAAGCAATTATGATCCGCAAGAGCACCATAGAGATAATACACATAAAGGAAGCGAGTTATACGAAACTCTGCAGGTGAAAACGTCCCGCAAAAAGAGAGAGAGATAGAGAATCGGAAGCCCCGACTGTCCTTCTCTAATGGTGCATAGACGACAAGGACAGACGGGGTGACCGACCTTTTTTCTGTCTCTAACACAAGGGACACTTTTTGCCGCTGCTCACTTCTGAAGAACACACGTTGCTTCCCTTCCTCCACGTGGTGATATAGAATAGCAACACAAGACTGCGCGGTTTTCTTTTTTTTCCTTCATTCATTTATTATCCCGTTGTCAAGGTACGATTTTACATTGTTGTGGGGCATACGTAGTCATAAAATTGTTAAAATATTCATGTCTGGTTATTCGGTAAACAGAGAGCACGAGTTCGGGGTGATGAAAAGTAATTTATTCTATCTTTGTTACTCGGAGCGTTTGACATAACATTGACATTTACAGCTGGACATTTTTTTCTGTACAGTGTTCGGTCTTGAACTGTGCTCGCAATTCGATGTTTCTACGCGTTCAGCTCCACTGTTGGTGGAACGATGTACAAATGCCTTGGAAGAGAAGGCGTTCGAGGACAGTACCCTGGACCTATACAAAGTTTATCACAGTAGCCCGCCTAATGAACAAACGTTGGAGTTGCGGCAAAAGTTGAACGACGGTAAATCTTATTTTTGTTTTATATTCTCGTAAATAGTGTCTGTACCACTAATAAATAGTTAATATAATTTATATTCCTTATGCCCTTATTATATCGGGGAATCCCAAATTGAAGAGTTCAGGGCAACAAATGGTCAGCTCGATTTCGACGTGACTGCAAAAGAATGAATTTTTCTAATAGACTGTCATATCATTTGTGACTGTTTGCTGCTCCGAACGATTAGGAACCGATTAGTCACGTCAAAATCGAGCTGACCAGTTGCGGCCTTGAACCTCCAATTAATCCATTGTACGTTTCGATAACTATTTATATTTTTCTTGAACTCTTCAGATGTGCATAACGCCGACTTGAATTCGTATAGTCCTCAGTGCATAGCGAGTGTTTTAAAAAAGTTTCTACGTGAGCTGCCAGACCCTGTGATCCCTGTACAGTTTTATGACAGATTTATAGAAGCATCCAGTGAGTACCGTAAACGAACTTGAAAATAATAGGATCTTATTTTATTATAAAAAAAATCCTTGTTACATGTTTTGTTCCTTTTTCGTCATGTATTCAGATACGAAAAATGACGAGCAATGCGCTGCACGGCTTGGAGAACTCGTCACGGAACTTCCGGAACATCACCGTAGTACCTTGTTTCATCTGATGGCTCATTTCTGTAGGATTTGTCAATTACAACACGGAAGGGGTTACACGGAGCCTCCTACTGTCCTTATACAAGTGCTGTGTCATATTTTCGTCAGGCCTCCTTGGGAACGTATCGTGTAAGCATGTCCTCTCAGTTCATCTTCACGTGTCCGAATATTAACCGACTCGTTCTATTCAATAACCTTTTCTCCTTTTTATAGGCAAATCGTCCACAATATTGAGGCGCATATACGAATAGTCGAGGTGCTGTTGTTACACGGTGACTGGAACGAGAAACTGCCACAATTCGCGAGTCCACCGCAGCTACCACCGCGAAAAGTGTCTAGGCCACAATTCCTGGTTCTAGATCCACTTTCCGTACTCGATGAAGATACATCTTCCTTGGATCGATCGGTGTCGATGCCCGAGAATAAGGAGTCACAACAGCAACCTCACAGGTAAACCATTTTTTTATTCTACGATCTGGTTGTTACGCGTAAATATGTATTTTGTGAAATAGGCCACGGACGCTGCAGGAGGCGGAATGGTATTGGGGGGACATCACGAGGGACGAAGTGAACGAGAAGATGATCGATTCGCCGGACGGGACATTTTTGGTACGCGACGCATCTTCAAAGGGTGGGGAATATACGTTGACATTGCGTAAAGGTGGGACGAACAAGCTCATCAAGATCTGTCAACGTAACGGGAAGTATGGCTTCTCGGAGCCGTATCTATTTCATTCGGTCATCGAGCTGGTGGATCATTACAGGAATTGTTCCCTGACGCAATATAATTTGATACTGGACATTAAGTTGTTGTATCCTGTGTCAAGGTTTCAGCAGGTAATCTTAGGAATATTTCGACACTTTTGTTAGTTTGCAGCTTAGTTTGTTGCTGAATTTAATATTTTTCATTTGCTTCTCTAGGATGATGAAATTGCAAGTATGGACATGACGAATGTTGCACAAAAATATGTTGAACTCGACAAAGATATAAACGAGGCGTTGAAAATATACAAGGAGTCTTCGGAGATGTACAGTAGAACGTCGTTCGAGGTGCAGTTGAAGCGGCAAGCGTTGGAAGCCTTCTCGGAGGCTATCAAAATGTTTGAGGATCAAATGAAGCTGCAAGAAAAGTACCAGAAGGAAGCTCAACCACACGAAATATCGACGTGAGTGTCCAATAATAGTTACGCTTAATATAATAGAATGAACTTAAAGTTTGAACAATTTACTTTTGTAGGTTAACTGAAAATGCTGAATTGTTGAAACGAAGACTGAAATCTTTGGAGGACAGTAAGGAACAGTTGGATACCAGTCTGAAGGAACAGATCGCTTACAGTAGAACTCTCGAAAGGGAGATGCACAAAATGAAACCTGAACTACTGCAGCTCGTTCGTCAAAGGGATAAGCATTTAATGTACGTATAATTTGGTCTACTACCACCTTTGTTTCGAATCACAATCGATAAACGTTATTCTCCGTTATAGATGGTTGAAGAAGAACGGTATGAAGCAGAATAAAATAAGCCAGCTAGTATTGAATCATTCGCTGTCGAGTCACGTGCTGGGCGACCTAGTGTACAGAGATCTTCAAGAAGTCGATCTTGAAGTTCACTCTGATGAGAAGACTTGGTTACACATCGAGTGTTCCCGTCCCGAAGCCGATCGAATTCTGGCCGACAGGCCCGATGGTACTTTCCTCGTTCGAACATCGAGAACGGGACAATACGCCCTTTCCATAGTGTACGTGTTTACAAACATATCTACTCTTTGCGCTCGATTCATTTTGAACGTTGTTTCGTGTTCTCGTCTCCAACACGAGTGCGAAGGGTCAATATCGAGTAGTTAGTTCCTTAGAAATATTTTCCGTCTAGTCGTTACTGACAACTGATCTCTGAAACAGGTGTAACGGCACGGTGAACCATTGCATAATATACGGTACGGAACGCGGATTCGGATTCGCCGAGCCGTACAATATCCACAAGAGTTTAAAACACTTGGTGCTACACTACGCTCAGAATTCCCTCGAGGAGCACAACGAGTGGCTGAACACGACCATGGCTTATCCGGCGTTTGCCTCGCCCGCGGCACTGGCGCAGTTGCAGGCTCAACAAAGACAGCTGCAGATGCAGATGCATTCGCAGGATCAATTACAGCTGACGCGGCCCCTTGAAAATCAACATTTCATGGCGCACACGTAATGTCCGCGTACGTCGAAATCAGCAGAGTTCCGAAGGTACTGGAGAGATCGTGTACACGGAATTCTTCTCTTGTGGCCACGATTTTTTGTTTTGTTTAGGAATGTTTCTCGAAACGCGAGTTTTTCTAGGAATCGTTCATGTGGAATTCCTGTACGCTTTTTTTTTTAATCGGTGCGGTGATACTATGTCGGGAGTAACTAACGCGCGACAATTTATTGTTCCATTTTTATACGATGAGGGGGGTGGGGTATAAACGTGTCCTCGAACGAGGTATACTCGGGGTTTTGATATTACAACGCGCGATGCTAACACAGTGGCGGTAGTAAACTTCAGGAGGTGTAATTTATATACGCGTATAAAATAATTACGAATGTTACCATGGCGCGGTGAAAGATATTAATTCGATCAACAGGGCTGATACAACATCGGGTAGGTTTCCAATTGGCCAGAGGGGTCTGTAAACAGGCCTTTCTCACGTCTTGTCGGTGACTAATACGAAAATGCAATTTGGCGCTTGTGCCTGAAGCCATAAGAAAGATTAATCCTTTATTTTCTTTCGATCGTTTCGAGACGAGGAGACTCGCGTTTAGATATTGGAACGTCGATTACGTTACACTTTTCAAGATGCTCTTACTCGATCGAACACGTCAGAATAACAGAGGCATATAATAGTAACAATCTAGTCTTACAAGCAATTCGACAGACGAAACAGATATAGAATGAAATATAAGTCTGACCACGCTCAAACTATTCGCAGTTTCGATTAGTAATTAGGATAGTTGCATTTCATAAAACAATTCGATGTTGATCTGTCGTAAAGCCGATGGTGACAGATCGGTTCCATTCGGGACATGTGGATAAACGGAACAAGTTTATAGACCGCTGTACTTCTGACTTCTTCGATAGTTTCCTGCGAATACTTTCCGCACTTCTTTTTTTTTTTAACACACGCGGTACGCTACGATGGGGCACCGTTTACGTCGACACGACCGAAGCGTTGGTCTCCGACAGTGATACTAGAGTATAGACGCATCGCGAGACGGATAATAATTGAGCCCTCTGAACGCTTGCGAAATATTTTCTTTTTAAACAGAATGTAGTAATTTATAATAACGAGTGAAGGATATCGCCATTGAGGGATGAGGCTCCTTTCAGATATTTCGAATACTATTATAATTAAGTTCAGTTTCTCATTTAAACGTGCCCGATGTGCCGCTTTCGATCGTTCGCCACAACGAAACAAGATTTTACATGCCTTCGCGGGGGCTTTCTTTTAATATACGTTCAATTTCAAGTGCTGTGCCAGATCTGTGTATACGCTACAGCGTGTAGCTGAACACGACGAGAGGGAGAGAGTGCAAGAAGCTGTAAGTGAGAGAGCGAGAGATGTAGAACATTTCTTGAGAAGATAAATATATTGTCTGTGATTTCGGGTTGCCGAGAAACAAGATAGATAAGTAGATAGGTAGATAGATAGATATATATATATATATTATCGTGACTATTATTTTCCAATTGCTTTTTAAAAATCGCTTTCATCTTATACTATTATATACTGTTCTTTTCGTTCATTTAAGATTTATTGAAGCGCGTGACCGTTGAAATAATACGCGCGTTAATATATGTTCATGAGTATAATATAGGATTACTTTGCGACTATACGTGCAAAAGCCATTCGTGATTTTATTAATTATACGTTACATTTTTTAATACGCCGCATCAGACTGTTACTCGTTTCGTCATGCTCCTCTCTTTTTTAGACTCAACTTGCCTCACTATCCTGCGAGACGTCTGCCCCGTTTCGATATCACCCGTATTCTATTTTATCTTGAAACGTCCGTGTAATACGTTCTCGCGAATATTTAGGCAAGGTCGCTTCTCGTTCGAAGCGCATAATTAAAGCCTCGCTGTGCTTTTGTTTTAACGAATGATCTCAAGGGCGTCGAGAGTCGCGAAAGATTATGACGGTGGCGCGAGGAATCGCGACACGGAGCCAGTTACCATGGAATCGTTGCTCGAGAAATTTTGCGTATTACATTGCGGTCTGTAATCGCAAAAGTGTATCGAGGTCGATTTCCGCGCGTGTCCTGGTCCCTCGACTCGTAGCGGTCACTCGAGTCCGAAGTTCCTTGAGCTACCGTTGTTTCTTCCGCGGTTCTCGTTCAGTCTCATAGTCAAAAGAAACGGAGCGATAAATGTGTAAGTCGGCCCGATCGGTCGAGGACAAAAAGAAGTGATTTCGAAGTTGGAAAAGACTGGAGTTGCGACGAATTTTAATCATTTGTCACTTTTATTCATTTCGTGCGCGCATATAATTACGGGATGGTAGATTTAGTGGAAAACACGGAACGTCTGAGCAACGGAGGTGTGGATTGTTAGGGAAGAGAGAAGGCTCGTTGCTCATCCTAAAAGCTTCGAATATCATAGGTTCAGGTAGGATAGGATTTTTTATACGTGGAAAGAATTTAAGTGCCCTGACGCTAATAGGCTTACATATAGATTTCGTGGTCGTCTAATCGCGTGCAGGTGCAGCATTCGATCGTTGTTTCACTGTATCTCTCGATCAAACGATTGTTTCTCAGTTGCTTGTTCTCGTAGGTCGTTTCTTCTCTTCCGTACGTGTCTCGATTTTAACGTTGCTCTTTAACAAAATGACGAATAAGAATATCGTAGCGGCGTTTTTGACTGAAGGAAGAAATAGGACTACGTTAAAATCGACAACTAGAATAACGTCTAATTTCAGTTTCGACAACTGAATTCTCAGAGAAGGAAAGAAACGATCTGTCGTACATAGTAAGAAATTGAACAAAAACGTGCGATTTGATATGACGAAAGTGCGAGTGCCACGTGTTACGAATAGCTGTAAGCGACGGCGAGTCCGAGCTGATTCAATTCAGCTTCCTTTTCTAACGAGATCTCGCGTAAAGTTGGTTTTCTCACGGCTCGTTCTCGTCGTCCCGTCTCAGGAGCTGAAGTGACACGATGCACACGTGTAAGAATACAGTCGGATAAGTACACACAACAATCGTAACGCTATCGAGCTATTAAACGTGTATACGCGAGACCGGTGTTCGCGTATGTGAAACAAAGATGATTAAAAATTCAAGGCACACATGATACTGTTTGAGAGAATATTTGATGTAAAAGTATGAAGGAAAACAGAAATAAGATAATTGAGGAAAGAAAACGGAGAAAATATATATGAGAAACATATATATGTATATTATATATATATATATATTTTTGCTTACTTTGAAAAAACGAACCTTTAATTGATTATTTATAATATATTTGTGCGTGTGTTATATACATATATATATTATATCGTAACGGTACGCTGTGTCGTTTACGGGCAGGCGAATCCTGATGATCGTGTCTTCCACGATTAGAACGTGGATATGAGCATTGAAACGCATGAGATTCAGAAAGTTTGCGCGTTCCTTGCATATTGTCAGAGAAAAGGTGAGGAACGTACACGCGTGGACATTCGTTAATGTTCCCAACAGAATAGAAAGAGTACGTGTATCCTGCCAGATCGAGGTGGTAAATGTAATCGAGAGAACAAAGTGATTCTATTTGTGCAACAAAGAGAAATTCATTTTGGCATCGGTACGTGATCATTGCATAACACCGCCTGGAATCGTTTCAAAGCACGCCGATTTTCGCTTCTGTGGTTTGTCGTTACGAAAGGTTCTACGCGGGTCTACCATCCGTTTCGTGTGCACGCGTGTACGTTGACAGGTCGTGTCACACAGACCGGTATGTTTTTCATACCCGGAAAGTGCCGACGGAAGAACGTTTAGAGGCCCACGTGTAAACGATCGTTTTACTGTGGGGTAAAGCAAGTCCAACGACTATAAATGTTTCGATGCTGCGCGTACAACGAACAGTAAAACGGAGAAAATTCACGAGTCTTAAAAGAATTCAAAAGAATAATAGATTTTACAAGGGGAGGTCGGAACGCAGATTTTGATGTGTCTCATGTATGTGTTCGGTTCAACATTCGATCGTTTCGGAATATTAATAACAACACGTGCCGATGCATGGAACAGCAAATTGCTACCGTAATAGAAATTTGCAATATTCTTAACAGACTGGGTTCTCGTAATCTAACTTATTTCGTTTCCATTCCCAATTATTTGTGCATCAAATTTTTCACATTCCAATACATATGATATTTATTAATATAACGAAACGATAAAATTCGCAGCACCATTCGACATCTAAAAAAAATTGACAACATCTAAATGCTTGATTTCTGGTAAAAATGCACTTGTTTAATATTTATAGAAATTTTTCTGTTAATTTACAAGCACACTGAATCATATCAGTATAAATAGACGCCAATAGTTGATTATGAATCATCTCGTGTATTTTTATCTAATCTCCACTCAGTAATTCCCTCTTAAATCTTTTGAAAACTGCGTTTTATAACTTTGCTATATGAAGTTCGATACTATTACGATGGCAAAGCTTAATGTACTTGCATCGGCTCATTTTTTATAATTAATATTTCGAAAACCATTGAGCGTCGGGCCCAACGTTGAAGCAGGCATGGTTGTACCACATGAGATACGTTAAAATTCTAGATGTCCGAGTCTCCCCTTGTTAGATTACGAAACGAAGAGAATCATTGAATCAATCATTCCAATAATGCGGTTGGACTTAATTCACCTCAATCGTTTAACCATTCAACCTACGCGGTCGACCCGAGTCGATCTTTTTTTCAGCCGAACTTCGGCGACAAATCGATTATATTTCCGGCCGAGGCTAACGCCCACGGAATCTTTTTGTATTTTTCAAGTCGAGGGCGACGTGTCCTCATTTAAGATTTTATGGCATAATAAAGAAGATCGTGCAATGTTTTTGCTCGATGCAATGTCACATCATGATGTATATATATAAATATATGTATAGGATTCCAGTTGCGATGGTGAGGCTCTTTTATACAAAAATAAATTGAAGAAAATGCATAAAAGGAGATACTTGCGATCTAATACAAGATTTCTCGGTAGTACCGATCCAACAGTTTCTTCCAAAACGTTAATGAGTAATAATTTACCACTTTCGCCTCGACTCCATTTTCCGTTGCAACATTTTATTCAATCTGATGAGTCTTGTTCGATTTTATTACAAATTAACATCAGTAAGTCAATGAGTTTTTTTCAAAATATTAATGATTAATAATTTACCACTTTTGTCTCTACTTTACACTATAATAGTTTATTCAATTTGTTGACTTTTATCGATTTTCTTATACGAATTAATACCAGTAAGTCGATGAGTTTCTTTCAAAATGTTAATAAGTAATAATTTACCACTTTTGGCTCCACCGTCCATTATAACGTTTTATTCAATCTGATGATCTATGAAGGATTTTCCTTTTTAAATCAATATCAGTAAGTCGATGAGTCGTAGGAGAACAATACAAAATTTCGAGAATCTCGAACAATTGGGTTATTCGACACAGGTATTAGTTTTTTTTACGAATTCGATTAACGCTCGGTGAATGAGATTGATATAAAAGAATAAAGCGAACGTCGTTTCGAAAAGTCTTCGCGATACCAAAATCACCGGGTGAGGAAAGAGTACTCAAAGGGCGATAAAAGAAGAAGACACGGGACAATGACGAGAGGAGAGAACACGTAAAAGTTGCCTTAGCTTTTGTAAAGTGAACAGGTGGAGAATGGGAAGAGTGAAAAAATGAAGATAAGAAGAGAAAGAAAGGGAGGGACACTGGATGAATCGGAGAGTGACAGAGCGAGTGAGTGATATTGACGGTCATTAAGTGTTAACGTGGCGTTCGATTGGCTGAATGATCATTGATCGATGACGGACGACTATATTCATCTTTGTTTCGAGAAAAATGACCGATAGAAAATGATTCGCTTACCGAGATAAGCCTACCACGTGAAGAGGAAGAGCCTTCAAGCAGATAAATTATAATCTGCGAAACATTGATAATCAAATCGTATCGATAACATTTAGCGTAACCGCGACGACGTGTCGCAAGACATTAGTGGTCCTTTTCCCGATTTACATAATATATATATGAACGCACTGCGTATTATAGTTGATGGTTCAGCCGCGGGCGAAACTCTCAGGTTCCAGTTACTAATAAAAAAATTTCGATTACGACGATTTGCGGCGTAAGGAGTAATTTAGAATGTTGCTATACGTCCCTTTTGATCGAGAAACCAATCCGTTTTTTGTGAGTGGTCGACGGTTTCAAGTAGTGATAACAAGCTAATAGGAAATAGAAAGTGTAATAATCGGAGATGCGCCGTAGACCAATATATAATAAAACGTAACGAATTAATAATTATAATATAATGATTCTCTTGACACTGCTATACGAAAAACGAGATCGGTAGAGAATGACCAGAAGGAAAGCAGAGAGAGATGAGGGAGTGAGAAAAAATGATCGAAAGAGAGAGAGAGAGACAGACAGAGAGATTGTATGAAAGGGTGTAAAAAAGAAGAGAAAGGGATTTCCTAGTATTTGTAATTCATACAATGAAGAGTGAGTTTCGTGATTTGATAGAAAAAATATAAAAATCATGATCGAGTATTAACGAACTTAATGTACACGTCCATTTAGGTCCTTGCCAATACTTTCTTTCTTCGTTTTTTGTGTTCGTGTTTGTATTAGTGAACGCGAGTGAAAATAAATACGACGTGCATAGGTATGTATAATGGTTTCGCCTCGAAGTAATGACCGATGATTATATTATAACAGATCATTTGAACGAATGGATTCTGTTCCGGGAGGTGCGGGCAGAAATGGAAAAGAAGGATGAGAAACATTTGGCGATTTTAGACATGTGGGGTATGTGGGTGGGAAATTAGGGGATGGAAGTGATCACAAAATAAGGGGGTTATCGATGTGCAATTATTAAGTTATTAACGAATGTATGCTGTTCCACTGTGATAAAACTTTTTGTTTTTGTATGTAAAATATACTATTGTCGTCATAAATAGAGGATGTCCCAGAATGCCCAAATTTTACTCTGTGGGTGAAATCCTGAGTTAGAAGCTTCTCTCACTTTTTCCTTCAATCCCTATTAACAAAGTTAAACGCTAAAGGAACGTAACCAACTCGGCCGAGCACTGTAAAACGCTTCAAAATATTTTGAATAATTTTTCTATCTGAATATTCAGGAATTTTATTTATAAGGATAATTTTATGGATTTATTGGAGAACCTTTTCCTAATATAGTTTTTAATTGTCAGCATAATCAAAACTTACAAAACTGAAGGATACGTCGTGTCTCCCAGCGGACAAGTTTTATTCGGACACGTCATTGTTCCACTTTTATCATTAATAACTTAGTTAATAGCAGTGGGAAGAATTACTTTTGACTCAGAATTTCACACTCTTTGATACCTTCAATGGAAAATCGTGTGTTCTGTGATATCCTGTATATGAGACAATGGAAAAGGGAAAAAAGAAGTGAAATCATCAAACGGTGCATACACATATATATACTCATAGATCTATGAGCCGATGCATGCGCGATTTTAGAACGATCTATGTATCGTATATACCTATATATATATATACACATATATACATATATATAGGACATACGTATACAGGACACGTAATACGTATTAACGTATACGTAGCAGGACACGAATATACATATGTATGTACTCGTGTATTGTGATCGAGTGTGCACGCAGTATCAGTTACTACAAAGAATACAGATTTTAATTACCGGACCGACCTGTCTTCATGCCCTTGCGAAGTCTTCATGCACTGCAGAAATAATTCGTGAGATCAGACTTATTCGTTCTATGCTGAGTACAATTTGAATGTGTTAATTTTTCCAAATTGAGGATCATTGCAATTCCTCAGTCCTCTCATACTTACAAATGATGGAAGTATTTTAGAATTTGACTGAAAACGCTTGGTTTCAAAATGTAATATGAGTGTGGATGTACCATTCATTCATGCGTTTTCAATCGAGTACATGGAAATTCATAATAAACTTTGAAGAGATCTCACAATTGCATGAAAACTGGTGGTGCAATGAACGTTGTTTACTCGCTTTTTGCAACGGTCATTCTCATATTGTACCGTTTATTTCGTTAACCAACTCGGCCGAGCACTGTAAAACGCTTCAAAATATTTTGAATAATTTTTCTATCTGAATATTCAGGAATTTTATTTATAAGGATAATTTTATGGATTTATTGGAGAACCTTTT